ATTTTGTATATAAGTATATATATATACAAGTACAAAAATGTTATTGATTTTTAAAAACTTTTAAGTTTAGGAACGCTCATGAATATTCACCAGGTTAGCTGAAATGTCAGCCAAACTATGGAGGACACGACATGGCACAATTCAATGTCTAATAAACGAAAGTGATTATGTGATGTTTTAGAAATTAAAAAACAAACAAACTGTTTTTCTTATGTGAATATTATTTAAATTATTTTAGTCTGGGATTAATTTATGTGTTATATATTTTGAATAACACCAGCTTAAGGATTTCCTTCAATTTCTTTCATTTTTAAAAAAAAAATTTTGTCATGTATCTTGACCTGGGAAAGTAGTATTCCTTTCAGGAATGGAGACATTGGAAAAAAATCAGGGACGCAAATTTACATCTTGATAAGATTCCACACACACACACACACACATATACACACACACACACACACACACACACACACACACACACACACACACACATATATATATATATATATATATATATATATATTAGTGTATATTTTGGCAGTAACCTTTTTTCCAAACATCTCTCATTGACTACGATCGACAAGGAAGACTGAATTAATTTTTTTATTAAGTTTTTCCAGCATTCTTACATTTTTTCTGATCATAGGTCAATAAAAAACATTTATTAATGTTTTTTCATTAATAAATGTTTTTTTTATTGACCTATGATCAAACAGGAGACACGCAAGGAGTCTACTGAAAGAGGTGGTAGTGTGTCCAATATAGGTATTTTATTTGTGACAAGAAACACAGTCTTATATTGAACATTGAAATCTATTATATTCCTTAACTCGCACAAAACGAAAAAAAAATGTAGGAATGCTGGAAAACTTAATAAAAAAAATTAATTGAATCTTCCTTGTCGGCCATATTCAATGAAATCCATACACACACATATATATATATATATATATATATATATATATATATATATATATATATATATATATATATATATCGGGGACTCTCTCGTCGTTTCATTCGAATGTATGAGGGTCCAGCAGCCCAGTTCAGTTCTTAGAACCGAACGTCCAGTCTACTCACACATATGATTCGATAATAATGGTGAAGGCTTGTGCAGATGTGCGCGTGGTGTAAAATCGAATTGAGTTCGAATTCATTCATTTATAGAAAATACTTTTGTGAAAGATATGGATTCATCTCTTCGTCTCCCCTTAGCTATGGGTTCAATTGTTGGACAGAATGGTGTTTTCACCCTTAGTTGTCAACTAGTCTAGGAGAAGGACAATACCGAATCCCAATTCAGTTGATATTTTCTTACCAGGAGATACACTTTGGATATAGATATAGATATGAGCAGAAATCAAGTTTGGCTATCGGAATGGAATTTGGATTTAGGGTTTAGTACTTCGACATTTCTCCCACTTGTATGGCGTGAGAGTTTCCTTGTTTAGATTATTAATATTTGATCGCGTACTAGATGAGATGAAATAGACAAAAATTCATGACTCTCATGGATTCCATATAAAATTTCACAAGTTGGAGCCGATGAGTTGGGAAACACATTTATTTCACAGTCTAACTTGAAAGTAGGCATCGAACAGGAGATTAACTGGTGGAGAGGTGTCTGGCGAGGAAAGGTGAAAGGGTACGGGTTAGATACCTTCAGAAATGCATACATGAATCAGTCTGCTAATATCTTTACCGAATAAATCAATCCTTATTCGCTCACACGACCTGAATGTAAATAATCATTATTGGGGTCAGCAAAAGGATTAAGTGTCCCTTTAAGCGCGCACCCTCCAATAATGATCAGGGTTTGGATTTAATCTAAGGCCCTCCTCGCACGTTCAATACATAAAAAGAGGCCTGTGCACAGATGCTTGCACATACAATAAAAGTTTTTGCTTATTCTCAGGCAATACACATTTCACGATCGGTACGAATTTAGCAATTTGCATATAAATACATTCAAAGTATTGCTAACACAAGGTATTCATTCAAAACTGAAAGACACACAAATACAGTGAGAAATACAAACCTTCGTTGCTTTTCTGTAGAGAAATGTATATCTAAATGTATATCTATGTATACATATACTGGGAAATGCGCAAAAATCACACACATACGCACGCACACACACAACACACACGCGCGCAAATATTCCCAAAGAAAAAAAAAACAACCCATCCTGACACCCCAATGAATCAAAAAAAGATATTGTCCTACCAAGTAACTCTATCGCTACTGTAATTGAAAAGAATTTTTCCAAACACAACATAAAATCGTTATTAATACAGCTAAAAATAAAAGACTTAGTCAATACCAAACAAAACAATAAGCTAAAACTTGAAGGAGGAATTTGCTCGATCGCCTGTAATAAATGTCACAAGCAATACATAGGAGAAACCTCAAAGAATCTAAATAAAAAAATTATATGAACACAAAAGGAACATTTTACAAAACAATACATTAAATATATTAGTTGCTCACTGTAACG